CAGCTACTTGGGTTGCTGAGGTGGGAGGATCACTTGAGCACAGGAGTTTGAGGCTACAGTGAGCTGTGATCACACCTCTGCACTCCAGACCTGTCAAAAAGAAAACCCACAAAACTCTTCTTGAACTCGGAGCCTCAGCTCCCACTTTCCCCTCTAGCCAGATGACCTGTCAGGAGTCTCCGATAAGTTGTCCAAAAATATATGTTCTCCCTTTGTCAAATGATTCCCAAAGGAAATCATGAAATCTATTTCTTTTTCCTACATTTTCTCAGCAGGGAAATTTTGGAAATGAGTGAGACAGAGTCGAGTAGCCAGCTGTGGGATGACCTCAAAGTTTTGGGTTTCCTATTAGCATTTTCTGGTCCTACAGATCAGTGGGAATGGCCTTTCAAGGCTTGTATGGTTATACAGCGTTCTGGGAATACAGCCAACTTGTTCATATCATATTATTCATGTTATTGGCAACATAGCATATTATTGGCACTATTATTAAATTACCAACTAAAGTTGGTAAATATTTTACTTAGAATTTTATACTTAGGCTTATATAAATGTAAATGTTTTATACATACATATATATGAAATGTATATATATTGCATATAAATTATGTATATTTTTATAAGTTTATGTAGTTCCTTCCATTTATTTTCTGTCCAGAGGCATGTCTACTTAATTAATTCTTTTATAGGACTAGCTTTTGGATTTACTGATGCTATTTATTATTTCTTGAGTTTTAAAAAATATTTTCTGATTTTTCTTTATTATTTTCTTCCTTCATCTTTTTAAAATTTATGGTGTTTTATTTCTTTCTAACTTCTTTAGTTGAATGGTGAAGTCATTCATTTTTAATCTTTTTTCTTTTTGAAAATATACACTCAGGACAATTTATTTCCTTCAAAGGAAATTTGGCTGCATCTAAAAAGATTTTATGTATGTTGTGCATTTTGTTGTTTAGTTTTTCATATTTCACAATTCCCATTGAGTTTTGGATCCACGAATTATTTATGTATGTTTTTTAATAGCCATACAGTTGGTTGAGACCTATTCTGCCTTGCTTTGTTTTGCTTTGCTTTTGATTGGTAATCTCTTGCATTTTGTTTTTAGCATTCTGCTGCATTCTCATAATTTCTTCAACTCTGTCTCTCAAGAACATTGAGATTTCTTGGGTATATTTTTCAATGAGTCTAAATTTCAGTGGATATATTTTTATTTCTTGTAATTTTATTCATTTCAAATCTCATCATTTTAAAAATAGTGCTCATTTTATTTATTAAGTAGGTTAAGAATAAGAAAGGGGATGCATACCCTACACACATCTGTGCGAACCTACTTTTTATTTTAGCCTCCACTAAGAGGCCCAACCAGAGACAAAACTTCTTTTCTGGCACTACCTCTAAGGTCAAAGGGGAGAGTGCTGCTAAGAGGGGCCAGCATTCCCTCTGCAGGCAGGCCCTGCCTGCTGCCCTCTTTCTCAGTCCCAGGCCCACCGCTGCATCTCTGCACTGATGCTCACACTTCCCTGGGTGTGAAGCCATGCATGGGTCCGGGGCAGGAATGCATTCACTTATCTACCTTGTTGCCACAACTGAAAGGTTTCCCAAGTCCCCCCTTCTGCTTCCCTTCCCAAAGCTCAAGTTTCTCCCATTTTTAAATAAAACAAACACCTACTAAGTCTCTGTTCTAGCTATGGTCTTCCTTTTCTCCCTCTTCTTTGTTGAGGTACGAATATGCACCTAGTAGGTGCTACAGTCCTCTTAGCAGACCTTCCTCTTCTTGCTCCTTTTCCCTGAAAACAGGACTCCACACTGCCCTCCCTCAGCCCACCCCCAGCACAACTTCTCTGCTATCATGACTCATGACCCTAGAATAAAACCTAGGCTTCTTAACAGGATCTAGCATCTGCCGTTATTCTCTTGTGTGTCACTATCCCTTTCTTAAAAACTTTAGCAGTTTTATAATGCCCCTAGTTTTTTGAAAGTTCAATGTGACTTGATGCCTCTTTGCTTTTGCATATGCTGTTCTCTCTGCTAAAATGATTTCTGCTTATCTGCACAGAAAACTTCCATTCATACTTCAAAACCCAGCTCAGAAATTTTCTCTTCAGTGAATCCTTCTCTACTTGCCCCCAATACATTTAATCTCTCTTTTTCATTGTGCTGTTTAAATGGTTCTTCTAGTATTAAATTTAACATATAATATTCTAACCATTTTCCTAGATATTTACTGCCATCCATTGTGCCCTGTGTTCTTAAGATAGAACTCATAGTTTATTTGTCAATAGATTCCCAATAGGCAGCACATTGCCTGACACATAGAAACACTCCATATATGCTTATATACATTCAGAGTGATGCTCGAACTGGGTACAGACATCCCTCAGTATCCATGGGGGATTGATTCAAGGACACTGGAGGATACCAAAATTAGTGGATGCTCAAGTCTCTGATGTAAAACTGTGTAGAATTTGCATATAAGCAATGCACATCTTCCTGTACATTTTAAATCATCTCTAGATTACTTATAATACATAATATAATGTAAATAGGGGTTATACTGTACTGGTCTTTTAATTTGTATTATTTTTATTGCTGTATTGCTACTTTTTATTGGTGTGATTTTGGAGTGTTTTCAATTTGCAGTTGCTTGAATTCATGGATAGGTATGGAACCTGCGGGGATGGAGGGCTGACTGTATCTTGTTTTTTCAGTAAAAATTCATCAATGTTGTTACAAAATTAAAAGTGTTTTTAAATTATTGTATATGTGGATATAAAAGTAATGAATAAACCAAGAATTTGGCATTAGAAATCTGGAATCTTGGGGTACTTTATATTTCTGAAAAAAAATTGTTACCACTCACTTCTGAATGACTGGGATTGTATATCAATGCTGGCCAAGGACCTCACGCCAAATCACCAGAAAAGCACAGTTGCTCTTAGGAGCTTGAACACAGAAAGTTATCAATGACATCATTAGTGCTTATGAACTTACGTGTCCTGGGCATTTGGTTGAAGACAGCTGTCCAATAAATAATGTCAGTTTTAATCTGTACAAATCTGTGATATTAACTTTTATCTGCTTGGTAATGTTCTGTATCTTTCCTGCACCTGCATTAATCTTCTCTGAATCTCTTTCTTTTTAATCTCTGAATCTTCTTTATGTTTTAAACTGCTTTTTCCCATCAGCATCTCTTTTTGTGATTTTTGTAAACTTTTGTTCTGTTTACATAAAATAATAACCAATATCTGTTATTTTGGATCAAAAAATACACAATGATGTTTTCATCTATAAGAAAATTATGAATAAAGTATTGTCTTAAATGTATAGATATACAGGTAATTAAGTACTATCGGGGTGCAGGTTAAATTGAATTTTAAAAGGTTAAATACTCGATATGGATTGAAACATCACTGAAAGCCTTCTAAGAAATAATTTATTGCTGTTATCACAATGCACTGCTAAGAAGGTGCCTCAAGTATTTTCACAGAGTTTTACAGTTGACAAATATTTCTGGCAGAATGTATTTAATTGGAGACAACGGGATGGGAAGGGAATGGTGGTGTTCCTCTTGCATGGTCAGGGAGACACAGGCCTGAGAGATCAATTCCATGGCAGTACATCTGGTCTGAAATCCAGGGTTATCTTCAGTGCGATGCCCTTGCCACATTCATCTCATGTACATTTTGGCACAAACATAAATGAAAGACACCCTGATTGCAGACTAGGGAAGAAAACAAAAATGAACTCCATAACATGGTACCATGTAGCACTGCTCAAATCTGGGTCATGTATTCATCTCTACAAGAGTCAAAACCAAACAATAACAAAAACACACTTATATGGACCCCTAAGTGTTGACTTTAATTATTTTCGTTATAATGTTCCTTAAACATGCACACATAAAACATAAGGTATAAATAAATTGCTTATGCTTCCATTAATAGTTCTGATATTACTCTAAACCAAAACCAAATTTACAAATTAAATGAAAACAATACTAAAGTTGAGAAAATAAAACTCAAATTATCTACACATATTTAATGGGATTGATAATACTGCTTTCTGAACATAAATCATGACGTCCCAGTGTACAAACAATTAGGGTGCCAGTTCTTTTCAGTTTGACATAATTTATATTACCTTGTATCCTTGCCCAGAATGGGTGGTTTATAAACAACATAAACTTATTTCCCACAAACTTTTCTGAAGGCTGAGAAGCCCAAGATCAGTATGCCAGCAGATTTAATGTTTAGCGAGGGTCAGCATTCTGGTTCATAGACAGCACGCTTCTTGCTGTGTCCTCACCCAGTAGAAGGGGTGAATTAGCTCCCTTGGGCCTACTTTATAAGGGCACTAATCCCATTAATGAGGGATCCATCTTCATAACCTAATGGCCTCCCCCAAAGCCCCACCTTCTCATACCATAACCTTGGGAGATAGGACTTCAACAGTAGAACTTTGGGGAAACACAGACAGTCAGACTCTAGCACCATTGTAGCACATAGAAACTCAATTCTCCCTCAACTTTTCTCTAATCAGTCCATTGTAAAACCTCCATATGGCAACTATAAGGCCATTTGGCCTTTACTTGACCCAACTACATCATCTACATGAGTCCATCCCTGAGATTTGTTCATTTAGCAAGTGTAAGGCAAGTTCTACCAATGTCAACACAAATTTAAACACAGATATACATGCAGTGTGTACCTTAACATAATAGTGCTATGTTGTAATTAGCCATTCATTAGCATGATCTAGAATACCCTTATACGATTTTCTAGTTATGATCAATATCAAAATATAATTTAGAGTACATCATAAAAATCTCCAGGACACCCTATAATACATCTGATAATGCCTAGACTTCAGGCAATAGTGTGAAAAGACCTAATATGTGGGGAAACTATTCTATTTTAACCTGGAACTGTACTTGTGTCCCCACCAGAACAAGTACAAAACAGGACTGAATGATGCAGCCTGGGTCAAAAAGTAGAGGGAATCGCAGTCCCTGAGAGGGAGAAATTCTGAGTTGCGCCTCTTATTCCCATTCTCTGCCTGGAGCCGCATCTTAACATGGCACAAGGGTCAGAGTCCACGCTAAGCAAGACGTCTGCTGAGCTGTGGAGGCAGAGATCAGCATCGGAGCATCTCAAGAGGCTGGAATTCACAGAGGAGGACCCCAACAGGAGAGAACCGCATAGAGGTGACCCCCTGATTCTATGTGATGAGCCTTAGTCCATGGCTGAGGGCTGGGCTGCACGTGCGCAGGCCACAGTCTCCCAAGACCAGGAGAGGGAAGGCTCCTGCAGGGTCAGGAGCAGAACAGAGGTATTGCAGGTTACTAGAGCCATGCACTGAAAGGCAAGTTCAAGGAGCTCAGTTAAAATCTACGCATGGAGGCCGGGCGCGGTGGCTCACGCCTGTAATCCCAGCACTTTGGGAGGCCCAGGCGGGCGGATCACGAGGTCAGGAGATCCAGACCATCCTGGCTAACATGGTGAAACCCCGTCTCTACTAAAATTACAAAAAATTAGCCGGGCGCGGTGGCGGGCGCCTGTGGTCCCAGGTACTCGGGAGGCTGAGGCAGGAGAATGGTGTAGGCCCGGGAGGTGGAGCTTGCAGTGAGTCAAGATCACGCCACCTGCACTCCAGCCTGGGTGACAGAGTGAGACTTCATCTCAAAAAAAAAAAAAAAAAAAAAAATCAATCTACGCACGAAACATGTACCAGAAAGTCAAAGTCAAGTCTAAGAAACCTGGGCGTTATGACTTACAAATCTGATTTGAGATCAAATAAACCTTCACTGTTTAAGAATGGCTAATAATATTGTTATCACTTTACAGATAGAAACTTCTTGCATTTTTGGATAAATATTTGTTTTATGAGCTATTTTTAAGCCTCTGCTGTTTTGATTGGAATAGATATTACGCTCTTCAATTTACATAATAGGTTTTTAAACCAGAGAGCACTTAATGAATTAGACTCACCTCCCTTCTGAGCACTGGTGTCACACTGTTTGATAGGCATGATAGGAGTGATTTTTTTTTCAATTTCTAGTAGTAGTATTCACTTTTTCCTCTTTTAGATTAGTAATGATTCTCATCTTACGTGCAACCAGGGAAAACAAAGCCTGAACAGAACCAAAATGGCCCTCCTCCTAAGTCACAATAGGCTTTTACTTTGCTTTAACTGTGTCTATTTCCAGCAGATAAATTCTCATCAGAAAACAAAATGTATTATGAAGTAGTTATCCCTTTCAGATGTGAATTTTCAGCTCCTCTCTCATTCTGTGTTAAAATTTGATCAAGGATGACTTCAAAATCCTAGAAGGACTTCACATTCACAAAATGCCTAGCTAGCTCCTTCCCTTTAAATCTTATTTAAACTGAAAAAAAGAGAAAATATCTGAATTTCCTCATTTTCTTTCTGAAATGATAGTTTATAGGTAAAGCATTTTTCATTCAGTAACACAAGCCAGCCTCGTTAGTCTAACCTGGTTAGACAGTGGATTTGAGCAGAGGAATCACTTTTGGGGTGGGTCTTCTGAGATTTCAAGCCAAAAAATTGAACAGATATAGTCATGCACTGTATAATGATGTTTCGGTCAACAGCAAACTGCATATACAAGGGTGGTCCCATAAGATTATAATACCCTACTTTTTATTATATCTGTTTCAGGTTTAACTATGTTTAGATACACAAATGCTGTTGTGTTCCAATTGCCTACAGTATTCAGCAGAGTCACATGCTGTGCAGGTTTGTAGCCTACGAGCCACAGGCTCTACCGTATAACCTAGGTGTGTAGTAGGCTCAACCATTTAGGTTTATGAAAGTGCACTCTGTGATGTTTGCATATGGACAAAATCTCCTAACTACACACTTCTCAAACATATCTCTGTGGTTAAGTGACGCACGACTGTCTTCAGAAATTACACTAAAACACTTCATTTAAACTGGCAACTGGCCGTGTGTGATGAGAGCATGGGGAATGTATGTGCTTAGCTAATGCAGAGATAAACTGAAGTCACACAGAAGGGATAGAATATTTACTGACAGCTTATTCTTGGAGAAAGAGAAATCCTCAAACTCCCAAAACCATAAAAAGACAAAAGGAAGGAATAACACACATATGCACATACCTATATGTATACACAGGTATGGTACATGTGTATACGTGTACATATGGAGAGCGAGATGAAGACACACAGAGGGTTTCTCCTAGACATTAAATTTACATGTCTTTCCCATTCTGTTGAAAGAGGGCTTGACTCCCAAAGGGAATTCACCTCTAAACCAGTGACTGTATTGTTCTAGTTTCCTACATGCTACCCCATGGTGATGAGGGAAGGAACACATAATATGTCTTTTCCAGAAGACACTCAGTTACTTTTCTTTAAGAAGGAGAAGGGTGAGTAACTTTATAATGGGAAGATTGCAAGATAATCAGCTCTTTTGGGTTTTGAATAGAGACATGGCTGTCGCTGGTTGGTTAGAGGTCTGCTAAAGATGCTCAAGTCATCTGCCTTTCTGAGAACAGTCAGTGGCTATTCCAAAGGGGGTGGTGGCCTTTGAGTTTGCATTCCTGAAAGAAGAGCTGTCAAGCCTGGGAGAGCTGTGGGGAAAAGGAAGGGAGGGAGAAAGGAGAGTCAAGGTTCTAGACTGCAGCCTACACACATGCCTTGGCTGACTGAATTTCAGGCTCTGCTAATTACCAAGGCCCCAGTGCATGGGCTCAAGTGCAGGAAAGCTGCAGATGGACACTGTGCCCATCTCTAGGACAGGAGTGGAGCAGGGGTCTTGGACCAGCCAAACTCTGCCTAGGTCAGTAGCCTCCTCTGCCCTCAGCATTCCATGACAAGAGTGTCCCCAGTCAGCAATGACTGATCTTCCCAACTGGCCCCTCTCAAGTATGTGAGAGCGATGTCTTCGGGCCAGCCTCCGCTGTCTCAGAAGAGCACACTGGGCACGCAGCTTCCTTTGCCCTCCAAGAGCAAGAAAAACAGCTCCCACCTGCCTCCCTGTCCAGTTCCCCTTCAATCCACCCTGCACCCAATCCCTGTGTCCACCAGGTCACCTCCCTTTTCAATCTTCAAGGGCTCCCCAGTGTTGATAACAAATTTTAAGTTTTTAAAAACAACTTGTCTCACCTTGTCATGATCATCTAGGTTGCATCCTAACCTTAAGTACAATGAAATTGATAGTTTTCAAGTAAGACTGAATATAGTTTAAATAATCACAGTCATAAAAATAATTTAAAAATTAAAAATCATAACTAGGGAAAGTATTTGTAACTTATCTCACAATAAAGGTTATTTCCCTTAAATATATAAAGAGTATCCAAAAATAGAGGGGAAAATAGGCCAGTGGTGCTATAGAAAAATAATCTGAAAAATGCTCTTTCAGTTTAAAAAGTGGAAATGGCTACCTATCCAAAGATGCTCAGCCTCATGCATGTAAGAAAACACAAGTCAACACTACATGGAGATAATGATTTTAACTATAATCACCACATTTTTATTATATTATGTTGGCAAAAGGGCCCCTGTCTTATCTCTCCAAAGAGATTGAGCCCACATAGAAGGCAGAATTCATGTTTTCTATTTTTATATTTCAGTAGCATCTTGATAAATATCTGATTAATAAATATCTGAGGTAATGATCTGGAGCTAATGCTGGGAATGCTGTCAATGATAATTTGTCACTCTTCCAAGTTGCCACAGTCTTCAAAACTAGAAAAAGGCAATAGATGGAGGGGTGCCAGTGGGAAAAACACTGTCATTTTCTCTGTCTTGCATGACTCTATTGGTCTGGAATGGCGCATACAGTAATCTTCTTGCCTGAGTACAATGCTGAAAAGAGAAAAAAAAATACAATGGCAATTCCTGAGGCAATTGTGGATTTTTTCGTCTTTTTCGGGCAGCACCTTGGAACATTCAGGATGCTCTGAATCATACCACCACACATCCCAGTCACGATATGCACCCCCTCCTTCCAGGATCTTATGGATTAGCCCAGATCCCATGGTGATGTTTAATCCTCACAGTGAAAACAAAGACTTAAAACAAGACTCATTTGAAAGTGGCTATGTGCAATACCTGCAAGATGACTGATGGAGAGATGGTCCAAATAAACTAGAGAGGGAGTGGAGCTAAGGACAAGAAACAATGCTGACAGTTATTTTGGTTCACAGGTGATCGGAAAAATAACTTCAGGATATTTGTTTTTAAATGAGTTCCTGCAGCTCTTTTCATAAGCTTTCCATATTGAATGATATAATGAAAGGGCTCAGTTCCAAATATTGTGACATTTGATGCAGTTATTATATAAAATACTTCTAAAATGCCAAAAAGAACATAATGCTAATGAAAAAACACAACTTTGCATAGTCTTGAGAAAAGTAGAATAAAAAAAGATAGGGGAGGGGAGGTTAAATCTGAAATCAGTATATCTAACCAAGAGGTGTCATGCCTGAAATGACATGTGTCGATAAGAGAAAAATAATGTTCTGATTTTCTTATTGCAAAGTGCACAACACCCATAAAGGAGAAGGCAAATTTTCAGTGTAACTGGCAGACTTCATATGGTTAGCTTCTGTTCAAGCAAAAGAACAAACATTAAATATGCTATTAGTTAAAATTATTCACATAACATTAAAAAGCACCAATCCATAAATGTTTAGAGCTATGGTCAATAATTAGAGGTAATTTTCTGAGCAGAGATTTTCTGAGTGGAGGGCTAAAGTTGTCCTCCTCATAAATATTATATGTAGCTTTGGAATGGAGTTAAATAGCTTCTCTTCAGTTCAATAGCACTTCCTTGTATTTATTAGTTTCAGTACCCGGTTTAATGTCCAATGGACGTGCAGGCAGGGAAACGGCAACAGCCTGCCAGTCCTGGTAGGCTGGGTTCAGGACACCAAGCCCTTTTATAGCAAGTTTTCTAAAGCTGTAGGCTTTGCTACAGGGACCCATGAGCTCCAGAAATCTCTCAACGAGTGCCAAAGTGGGAGCCCTTGATGTCTCAGCCTTGGTTTCCTCAGGAAGGAGGGTATTCAATAACTTGGTCTCTCATTTGGGGGACAAATATCATATCAAAATGTGTATTTGCTTTTAAAAAAAGGTTTTCAAAACAAAGATAAGGCATGGTCCTAGGAGTTGATAGAAGAGAAGCACTTTGGAGTTGAAAGGTAAAAATGACTGGCAGATTTGAAATGGTGTTTTTTCAAAGCATTCTTTGCAATGACGGGGCTGAGAGGTTAGCGAAGGAGCTCTCGGAGTGGCCTCCTGCATCCAGGCATAGAGCCATGGTGGGCAGCACTAAAAGGGGATAACCCTGGTGATTAGAAAACATTCCCTCCTGCACTTCCTGTCTTATGGCACATCAGCAAAAGCGACCCAAACATGTTTCTTTTCTTTTCTTTTCTTTTTTGAGATAAGGTCTTGCTCTGTCACCCAGGCTGGAGGGTAGTGGCACAATCATAGTTCACTGACTGCAGCCTTGAACTCCTAGCCTCAAGCAAGCCTCCCATCTCAGCCTTCCAAGTAGCTGTGCTGCAGGCATATGTCACTATACCTGGCTAATTAAATTTAAAAAAAAAAAAAAAAAACTGTAGAAACAGGGTCTTGCTATGTTGCCAGGCTGGTCTACAACTCCTGGTCTCAAGTGATCCTCCCACCTTGGCCTCCCAAAGTGCTGGGATTACAGGTGTGAACCAGACTCTGCAGACCCAAAGCTGGGAGTACAACTGAAGGGAGGATCCCTGTGAGTGCAGAGCAAACAACTGGGAGCAAACAGTGCACACCACAGGGCAGGATTTGACAGGTCGAAACAGAGGTACACCCCAGACATCACAGGAATCAAACGATGCTCCAGAGGAATGTTGTGGAAGGTCTACCCAGGAAAATCTGGCAAAGCTCCCAAAGCAGCTGGGCAGCAAGTATGCACTGGTGGTCCACAGCATGCTGGAGCTGAGCACAGTCCCGGGGTGGGGTGGGGGAGACAGACACGTATGAGAATGGTAGCAATGCCATGGTGTGAGGGCAGCCATGCTCATGTGCAGGTGTTAAACCCACATAAGGTTTGCCTTACCCATCCCCAGGCAGAAGGGCATTTAGTGATGGTTTTCTTTTTTTCTTTTCTTTTCTTTTCTTTTTTTTTTTTTTTTTTTTTTTTTTTTTTTTTTTTTTTTGAGACGGAGTTTCGTTTTGTCACCCTGGCTGGAGTGCTGTGGCGCAATCTCGGCTCACTGCAATCTCCACCTCCTGGGTTCACGCCATTCTCCTGCCTCAGCCTCCCGAGTAACTGGTACTACAGGCGCCCGCCACCACGCCCAGCTAATTTTTTGCATTTTTAGTAGAGACGGGGTTTTACCATGTTATCCAGGATGGTCTCGATCTCCTGACCTCGTGATCCACCCACCTCGGCCTCGCAAAGTGCTGGGATTACAGGAGTGAGCCACCACACCCGGCCTTAGTGATGGTCTTCTAAGGAAGAGTGGCTCTGTTGAGAAGTAGCAGTGGGAAGATTTGGAGGCACAGAGATGAGAACACATAAATGAGTGAACACAGAATGAGAAATCCAGGGTTCAGGGCAGAGCCAGTAAGAGTTTCTGCAGTGAGAAGAGTGGAGGTGGAGTCCTAGAGAAGAGATGGGGGGAGTAAGAGCCTTGAAAGTCATGTGATGTCACATGAAGTTTGATCTTATTTTCTACCTAATTTGTGGCCACAGGACCAGTGATGCCATTTGGCATGGAAACTTGCAGCACGGCAAAGGATGATAGGAAACGGAATGCACTGAGAAAACAGCGTGACTAGCTGGAAGCTACTCAGATGCTAGGCCAGTTTGGGCCAGTGTGATGCCTTCTGTACCAAGACAGCAGTAGAGGGTGGGTACCTGGAAGATATTGTGGAGGCAAAATGACTACAGATTGCAGGTGGCAAGAGGGAAGGCAGCTGGGGGGTCTTAGCCTGAATGTTTGACAAGACTGAAGTAAGGGGACAGCAGCTCTACAGGTGAAGATGATGATTCTGGTCGCACATGTAAGACAGTGTGCATATGGGATGCAGGGGCATGGCCAGACCTGAAGATGGGAGCATTCTGTGCCACTGTAGAGCGTAAGCCATGGAAATGAATGAGGTTGCCGTGGGATAGCCATTTGCCTCTCCCGAGTGTTCCCTTTGGCTTCTCTCTAGTCTAGATATACAGTCTCTCCCACGTCTAATCACTCTCCAAGTTCTACCAGTCCTACCTTGCCTATTATTAAACTGTTTTATCCTTTTTACTTAGAGCTGTACTGTCTAATACGACCCACATGTGACTGTTGGGCACTTGAAATGTGTTTATCTTGAATTGCTCTGCACTATAAGCATAAAGACATGTACTTTCTGTGAAAAAGTAAGAATGCAAAATGTCTCCTTTAACACTATTTAATGTTGATTATGTATTAAAATAATAATGATGTGGATGTATTTGGTTAAAAATATATATATTAATAAATTAATTTCACTTGTTTTAAGTACTAGGAAATTGAACTTGACATATGTGGCTTGTGTTATATTAATATAGCACAGGTGCTCTTCTAGAGTACTATTGTAACAGAGTAATATGATATAACTGAAAAGTAGGACAAAAGCTACTAAGACTATTTATGAACTGGAACTCTCATAATGCCATCTCTTTGAGCACTGCAACTCCCTACTTCTTCCTATAACCTATGCTCCTTTGTTACCCCAGGTTTTAATATCCACCAGTATGAGGATTGTGGCCCTGCAAAGGATATCACCTGAGCAGCCTCATGGTAAGGGCATCAACTTTCTGGGTTGTTTCTTCCTGGTAAGTGCTTAAACTAAACATTGTCATGTAGTGGTGTAGTAGTAAATGGCCTCTTAAAAAAAAAAAAAAAAAAAAGGCCAGGCATGGTGGCTCATACCTGTAGTCCCAGCTCTTTGAGAGGCCAAGGTGAGGGGATCACTTGAGACCAGAGCTGGAGATCAGTCTGGACAACATAGCAAGACCCAGTCCATACAAAAAATAAAATTAAAAAGGAAAAAAATTAGCCAGGTATGGTGGTGTGCACCTATAGTCCCAGCTGCTTGGGAGGCTGAGACAAGAGGATCACTTGAACTTAGGAGGCAGAGGCTGCATGCAGTTGGCTATAATTGCACTACTGCACTCTAGCCTGGGCAACAGAACAAGACCCTATCTCTATAAAAACAAAAAAAGGCCCTACTTGAGACCTTTCCCACGGTATAAATGCTCCCACCATGCCCAATTTTGAGCTACCAGTGCATTACCAACTGGCCTGCAAAGTTCCTGGGTATTCACCAATGACTCTTGCAATCCACTTCAAGCAGGCTCAACTTGCCTGGGTCAAATCCGGGCAGTCTGCTGGGCCAGAAAACCATGTATGTGTGAGTCTGGATCAGTACTGCCCAATAGAACTTTCTGCACTGATAGGAATGTTCTGGATCTGTGTTCTATGGCTGTTGAACTGTGGCTAGGAGGACTGAGGAACAGAATTTTAAATTTCATGGTATTTTAGTTAATGTTCATGTAAAGAGCCGCCTGTGGTTAGTGGCTACCATATTGGACAGTCCAGGTCTGGAGGTCTGTAGCAAACAACATTCCATGTGTAGGGAGCTGAGAGAGAAAGCGGGAGAATGAGAGTACCGCCAAAACTAATACGAGGCCAGTTCCTAACTTGGGTGTGAACAGGTATGGTGGGGAGGAGGAAGGAGTGCACAGACTTCTCTGCTACTTAAAGCATGTTGATCCCACCTCCTGGGAGAAAGAAGAAAACAAATTGCTCTCCATATTTTTAGAGTCAGTGTAATAGTTTATCTCGTAAAACACTGATAAGTCTTCCTTAAATTCCAATTAATACAACTTAAACTCATGAATATGAGCTCTCATGCCCCATGAATCCCCATGCCCCCATCACTTACGAAGTTCTCTGAATGCAAGGGGAGAACTCAATTACTATGAAACAATCATCCTGGTTCTTCAGAATGTGCTAGACTACTGGTTTAGGCCCAGAGAGGAGAGCCCACGTGGACTTCCTGCTATATTTGCAGGTTAAGAAACTTAGCCAGATAACATTTGGTTTTTCCCTGAGGAAATGAGCTTCAAAAGCAATAACAAATCTTATGCCTTATTAAAAGGAATATTTGACAACAACTGGGAGCATATTATGTTTGTCTTAATCACATAAGTTTCATCAATCTCATTTCCATTGGTCCAGATTCCAGATCAACTGACTATCTTGTTGATACATTAAAAAGTCATTGATCAATGGATTCAAAATTTGGACAGCAGATTGTGATCAATTCTGGTTCCTGAAGGTCATTTCACTGCACTGCAGAAACTTGAGGCTTGATAATTTTGTTTCTAAGCCTTGCCTAAGAGAAACAATATAGCAATTTCTTAATTGTTTCATTAATTCCCAGTTGGCAAAAATATACATTTGTGAATTGATGAGTAGAACTTGTAATTAAATTAACAATATTGAATATCTAGATAATGAAGATTTCAAAAGCAGTTACTATATTATGATCATATTTTTCCTTATATTCTGAAAAACAAAAAACAAAAAAAACAGAAAAACAAATGAACCCCTCCAGTTTAAACACTGGATAACTTCTGATTATTTCTGTCAGAGTTGCCAGGTACTACAGGAGTAGAGAGTCTACAGACACTTTTCATTTAAAGTTGACCTGGAGAGGCAAGCCCAATGGTTCCAATGATGAGTGTGCATGTGTTGCATTTGTTTAAAAAATGCAGCTTCCAAGACATAGGGCCTGGAAATTGGAATTGTAACAAATATCCCGGGTGACTCTTATGCAGCCTATTTGATATAAACCCTTCAACATTGAAGAACCTCGCTAACTACGTGTGTCACTAATAGCTCTTATCAGTCAACCCACAAAACTGGCAAGGAGTCCATCTCTGTATTCAAATGCTTAATGTCTAAACCCAAGACCTGCTCCATAAATAATATTTAACAGACTTTACAAAGCAGATAATTCTGGATATTTCTTACTTAGTAATATAAAATACAATTCTGGTCCTCAATGTCCAGAACTCACAGGAATTTGTTTTCCTCAAAAAAAAAAAAAAAAAAAGTCAATGATCTGTGAAGAATTCTGATTGCTGGTCAATAGGACAGGACAAGATCATAAACCCGGTAACACATTCATTTCTCCCATCATCTCTTTCCCATTATGAGCCAGAACTCTGGTGCTGTAGAAATTAGCTTTTAAAAGTGTCTCAGTCTCTAGCGACTGTTAAAAAATAGAATTAAAATGAATCATCTCATCATTAAAATCTGAGAGGTTCAGGGGCTCAGACCTCCAGCCACCATGGGAGTGTTCTTTGAGAGGTGCCTTTTCTGGGTGCTGTAAGACTAATGTGAGTTAAAGAGATAATTTAAAACAGTTATGTCGAGTCATGAAGACATCGTTTCATTGTGAAGAAAAGGGGATTTAAGGCAAAACAGCAACACAAAAACACATATTTGGTAGTGAAAGCAGAAGAAACAAGAAGTGGAGGTTAACTATTAACAGAGACTGTCCCTTGGCAGGGCGACAATACTCATAAATTAATTAGTATTTCTCCATGAGTCAGGAGCATCCTCAAACATTCTTGGGTGATATTCAATTAATAAGCAAAGGCTATATTACTTTTGTTTGTGTTCTACTTTCTATAATTTGCAGGGCCATCTCTTTGAGATTCAAGTGCCCACAAAAGAGCATGTGGATGAGGTCATATCTGGTCTGTGTCCGGCTCACATTGATGGTGTTTGTTTCCATAAGCCTGGCGAGTGCACCTCAATTTGAAGCTGTGGTGGAGTCCAAATCAATCTTTTTCCTTAAATACATGGAAGAAAAGGGAGACATGAGAAAGGAGAAAGCATGAGATCAAGTCATAATATGCAAGGACTGGGGGCTGACAATTATTATAAAGTCTAAACAAAGCTGTATTTGGCCGGGCGCGGCGGCTCAATCCTGTAATCCTAACATTTCAGGAGGTCGAGGCGGGTCAATCACCAGATGTCAGGAGTTTGAGACCAGTCTGGCCAACATGGCAAAACCCCGTCTTTACTAAAAATACAAAAATTAGCTTGGCATGGCGGTGCACCTGTAATCCCAGCTACCAGGGAGGTTGAGGCAGAAGAATGGCTTGAACCCAGGAGGTGGAGGTTGCAGTGAGCCGAGGTCATGCCACTGAACTCCAGCCTGGGCAAAAGAGCAAAACTCCGTCTCAAAAAAAAAAAAAAAAAGCTATATTTGTAGGTTGCTTGTACAGTCATAGATTACTTGACAAAGGAAATATGTTCTGAGAAATGCATTTTTAGGCTACTTTGTTGTGTGTCATCGTGTGAACATCATACAGTGCACATACACAGACCTAGATGGTAGCGCCTAATAGACTCTTAGGCTATAGGGTACAGCCCATTTCTCCTAGGCTACAACCCTGCACGGCATGGGACTGCAGGCAACTGTAACACAATGGTGAACATTTGTGTATTTAAACATAGAAAAGGTACAATAAAATGCAGTATAAAAGATTTAAAATGGTGCACCTGCATAGGACACTTATGATGAATGCAGCTTTCAGGATGGAAGTTGCTCTGGGTGAGTCCGTGAGTGAGTTGTGAGTGAATGTGAAGGTCTGGGACATTACTATGCACTACTGTGGATTTATAAACACTGCACACTTAGGCTAAATTAATTTTAAAATATTTTTCTTTAATAAATTAACCTTAGCTCACTGTAACTTTTTTAGTTTATAAACTTTTCTTTTAACTTTTTGACTCTTCTGTAATAACTCTTTGCTTAACACATAAACACATTGTACATTGTACAGCTAAACAAAAATATTTTCTTTGTATCTTTATTTTATGAGTATTTTTCTGTTAAAATTTTCCCTTACTTTTTAAACTTTTTTGTTAAAAACTAAGACATAAACACACATATTGCCTGAGAACTACACAGGGTCAGGATCAAAATATCACTCTCTTCCACCTCCACATCTTGTCCCAGTGGAAGGTTTTCGGGGACAATAACAAGCTGGCAGCTATCATCTCCTGTGATAACCATGCCTCCTTCTGGATACCTCATGAAGGACCTGTCAGGAGCTGTTCTACAGTTAACTTTATATATATGCAGGAGTACACTCTAAAATAATGATTAAAAGTACCATATGGTAAATACATAAGCCAGTAGCATAGTCACGTATTATCATTATTAAGTATCATGCCCTGTCCATAATTGTATGTGCTATATACGTTTATATGATAGCAGAGCAGTAGGTGTGTTTGCACAAACATTACCACCAGCAGGCAGGACATTAGGAAGGCTGACATCACTAGGCGATAGGAATTTTTCAACTCCATTATAATTTTATGGGACCATTGTGGTATATGCGATCTGTCATTGACTGAAGCATTGTTATGTGGTGCATGACTGCACAGGTATGGCAGAAATCTGGTTAGACTGTTGCCATAAGTACTGTATTGCTTTTATTGCAGAAAGCATTGAACACTTGAGTATTTTTAGATCTTTTAAGCTTTTCCAGATATTTTTTCTTGTCGGCTAGTTATGTCAACTCTTTCCCTGTAGAACTGCTTGTTAAAGGGCATAAGCTGTTCCTATAATTAATCTCCAAAAATGGGCAATAGGAAAAAAAACCTACCATTTTACTTAGAAATGTTTTGTGCTTATGAGAAATTATTATTGATTTTAACTTTTATAGAGTTTGTTCTCTTGGTATCCAAGCAAGTTCTGCTAGTTAGTATTTT